TTGGTTACAGATGCACAGAGGAACATACTGGAGGAATGGAGTGTTCAAGGTGTGGCAGGATCACCCAGCCCAGAGCAAGATGACCTCATCTGGCCCAGGGTTATACCAAGTACAAGAAGGAAAAGAAAAGTGGAGGGAAAGGTGGCAGTGAATGCAGCGGCCACATCAGAAGGGCTCTGCTAACCTCAGTCTGCACCTTGGTCAGTGAAGCTCTCGTAACTGAGTCCATGGGGAGAGAGGCTGCAGGCCTGTGTGCATCCTTCTGAGAAAGGCCAGAGCAGAAAGGGTCAGACCGGCCGTAGTGTGGCTAAGACTCTGGCCTTGATGGTCAGACGAGGCTGACATGTTTATGTATACATTAGGAACGTTTGTATGGACCATTTCACTAAATCTGCATATAGTTCACGCTAGTATAATTTCTTGATCTCAAACAATGTGCTAATCTAAAGTTTTGGTTATAAAAGTTTGGTCATTATATGGCAAAGAAATAACTGAGCTTTCATGGATGCCGAGAGTTACTGGCTGTCCAGCCAATGCCAGTTCTATGATGACAGTTGTGGACAGAATTGCTTTACAAAGGGCATGCCTAGAGGGACTTGCCTTTATTCCTAAGTAGGAAATGTGAGACAACAGATGTGTACGAAGATTTCAACCCAACTGGACCTACTTACCTTTCAGCAAACCTCAAGAACCTCACGCACACATGAGCATTAAGTAAGAGCCAGAGACAGAGGAATTAAAATGAGGTGCTGCCAGTCCTGGGTAAGCACTGTCATCAGGACCTAGATATTAAAGAAGTCACAAAGCCTGAATTTAAAGAATGGGATAATTTATCAGCCATTAGGGAAGCTGAGGTCCAACTTCTTGACTCTACTTCATTTAATCAGGGCTTAGCACTCCCAGCTATTCCCCAAACTATTGATTTTTTTTAAACTTCAGCCTCAAAAACAGACAAAAGAGTATATATGATATCACTCTAATGATTTATCTTAAGAATCTGTGAACTGTGGAATCATGATTGTTAGGACTGAGAGACACCTGCTCACCTTTCTGAAATGAGGAGCTGAAAAGATATTCTGAGATTTAGAAAGGGTAAGGTATACAATGTTGACCTTTTGGAGACAGGAAACCTTTGATGAACTATAGGACACCAAGACAGTTCATTTAAAAGATGGTTTCAAAGCATTATCTGGGGCTGGTTTTCTGTGTGCCTTACTGAAGCTCTTGAGTTGTCTTTTTACATAAACCCAGAGAAATAATGGTTTCCGCTGCCGTTCATATGTCTGCAACCCTCATGTGGCACCTTGGCTTCTGAGCTTTGTAACAGCTTTTCAGTCTCTTTTGTGGACAAAATTAAACTTTTCTTACTGTTTGACAGCATGGAACTTTCCTGCAGTGGGTTGTTAAGGAGAAAAGAGACAGGAAGAGGTCACCAACACCATCTCCATGTAATTAAAGCCGTGCAAACAGCTAAATAAAATTGTTGCTAATGACATTTACTTGATGCTATAATATGAGTCTTTGCTCTGGTCTTGGAATAAGTTAAGGATAAGCTGCTCATAAAATGTACAGATTGTAAACCTTTGTTGCAGGTTTCACAGGGGGTAGGATTTTGATAAAAGGCAGCTTTCCTTCAGGGCTCCGTGTAGGTTTGCATGTTCTTCTCTCTGGGCCTTTTTTGGTCTCTCTGTCTCTCTCTCTCTTTTTCTCTCCCTCTCTCTGTCTCTCCCCCCCCCACACACCCCTCGCAAAATAGCTCCCTTTATCTAAAGTTTCACTTTCTGTGTTTTCAATTACCCATGGTCAACTGTAGCCCAAAAATATTAAATGGAAAATTCTAGTAATAAAATATTTGTAAGTTTTAAATTGCATACCATTCTGAGTAGTAGGATGAAATCTCATGCCTTCCAATTCTGTCCTGCCCCGGATGTAAATTATCACTTTGTCCAGCATATCCACGCTATACACACTCCCCACCCTTTAGTCGCTTAGTAGCTATCTTGGTTTATCATATTGAAAAAACATAGAAAATACCAAGTTCCATACCAGCCGTGGTTTCAGGCATTCACTGCGGAATACATTAAAACCAAGAAAATAGCGCTCAAACTTGATTTATAGACTTAGATTGACCATCTACTAAGGTATAGCATGCAATCAAGGAACCAATTTGTCCTCTTTTATCTCTTAAAAGACCCTAAAAACAAAAAGTGATCTATAAATTTCTTTTTTCGGTGCTGGATCTGGAATTAATGAAACTGTCTAGATAAATATGAGAAAGTTAACACTTCAAAAATGCTGAGCTGAAACTTAGAATGTCAGACCGGTCCCAAACAAAATTGCGTTTTTATTTATTTGATACATTGTTATTCAGGCACACAACAAATACCGTCAGTGGGGATACCAAGAATAATGCAGTATTTTGGCCTTTAAATCTAGCAGAAGAGCCTAAGAAATAAACAATTACATGTGGTGGGATGTAAAATGTAACTCAGGATCTTAGGGGGTGGGGTAGGAAGTGAGAAGACACAGTACATACTGGGAAAGTTCTCCTGGGAGAAGAGATGTGGGTACACCACAGGTGTCATCCCCGGGCTGGCAGGTGCATCAGGCCCTTCACAGGGGAGGGGTGACTGCCCATGTTCTGGACATGAGAGAGAGCAGGTAAGTTTGAGTGACCAGAGTTTAATGTCTATAAGGAGAGGCTGAAGAGCTCCCTGAAGGAGCCCTTATTTTTATCCTCCCTTGTGAAGCCCTTTCTGACAAGTGGAGCTGGCAGCTGCCTCTCTGTGCCCCCGTGACTTTTTGCATATTTCTATTATTAGACTTTTTCCTCCTGATCTAATTGCTCATGTCTGATTTCCATACTTGTCTAAAGGATAACCAATGTCAGAACCGTCTTCCAGTTCTTACCGTAAGGCATAGAAAACAGTGAGCGCTCAGTACGTGTTAATTCAACACTTTGTGAATAACTTTGTGAAACATTCGTGAATGACGGGCTGGGTGGACGAGTGAACCATGAGGCACAGTTTGAGGACAACAACATTAAGAATTGCCCTGCTTGTCAAGCACCATTCCTAAAACCTCATGGTTTTATTTTTCTATTTCAGATTACTTGCAGCGTACGATAGCCTGACGGATAAACACCTAACTGGCTATTTTAACAACACGAGGATAAGGCGGCATCTCTTGAGATCAGGGCTGGTAAGATTTTCCGCAGGGCTGGCACCTTTCCACTCACCTTCTTGTTTCAATAAATCCGGTAACTTCCTACTTGTACAGGTTTTCTCTTTGCACTAATCAATGACCTCTTTCCCTTCCTCGTTTGAGAAAGATGACTCCCTTTTTAAATTTCCCAATTATCTATTTGAGGCTGTTTCAAAAGATGGGAAGACAGGCAACGTGACTGCTAAGGAAACTTATACGCGATTGAGGAAAAGTCCCTATGGGTTTTCGGCAGCCTATTTCATTTGTTTATTTATTCATTCATTCAATGCATATATATTGAACATGTTCTGTGAGAGAGAACTGTGAGTGATTGAAGATGGAGAATACTGCAGTCTTCAGAAAAAAATATTATTTTTTATGTTCACAGAATATGGCATGGCAGATGTGAACAGGTTAAGCGTCTCCCCTTGGATATTTAAAAGTTTTTATTTCCTGTGATGGTTTATTGATATAGCTTCAAAACTGTTCTTTTCTCAAAATTTCTATTCCCCTAAATGTATATTATGTGAAAACCTTTTTTAAAAATACAGTTTTCCACTGAAAGGAAGGGGTGTGGTTATAGAAAGCCTGTTTGCTATTTAGCTTCTTAAAACACAGTGGGTTTCCTTAACCATTGTTGCCATGGTGTTGAAAGGACAGGCACTGAGTTTCTAATTGTCGTTTGTGTGCTTGGCACCCGAGCTGATAGATCTCAGAACAGAATTGGCTGAAACTTGGCTCTGCCTTTTATAAGACTTAGAATCGTGACCAAATCGCTTTCTTCACTTTTTCAGCCCCAACTTCTGCAACTGTGAAATGAGGATAATGATAACCAGTCCTCAGAATCTTTATTTTGGTGGGGGTGGGGGCGGGTGCTACCTTGTCACTCAGGCTGGAGTGCAGAGCCATTGTCATAGCTCACTGCCACCTCTAACTCCTGGGATCAGGTGATCTTCTTGCCCCAGCCTCCGGGGTACCTGGGACTATAGACATGGCCACCACTCCTAGCTGATTTTTATATTTTTCATAGAGAGGGGGTTGGGGGATTGTTTGGTTCTTGCTCAGGCTGGTCTCCAACTCCTGGCCTCAAGTGATCCTTCAACCTCAACTTCCAAAAATGCTGGGATTACAGGTGTGAGCCCCTGTGCCCGGCCCCTTGGGGTTGTTGTGGCAGGTAGAGGAGCGTGATAAATGGGTGTTGTAATAGTTGTTACTGTTAACATCACTGCTTTGGATAACAGGCTGCGAGCTTCATGTACCAATGGGCAGGGCTTTGTATTTACTTACCAGCGTCGTTAAAAGGCACTTACTGAAGCTGGTGATGTGCGTGGAAACTCAGATAAGGAAAATACAGTCTTTTGTCCAGAGCAGCGCTTCAGATACAGCCCCTCAAGCAGCATCACCTGGGATCCTGTTAGAGGTTCACAAGATGTGAGGCACCTGCCCCACACCTACTGACTCAGAAGCTCAAGTGTGGGGGTCCCGCAGGTTTTCAACAAGTTCTCCAGGTCAAGTTTAAGAACCTCTGCGCTATAGGGGCTTCCAGTCTTGTTGGGGGAGACCAGATATAATCTCAGAGAAAAGATACCAATGACAGGGCAGTGGCAGTCAAGATGTTAAAATATTTTCCATGAATTTGACACATAGGACACGATAGTCCATGGATAACACATTCAAGGTCTAACGGGCATATTTGTAATTCCAAGCACTTTCTATCTCCATGCCCCTTTCTTCCACTGAAACAATGTACGTATTTATTAAAAATCTCATCACTTATAGAATAACTCTGGGTGGTATCAATCGTCCAATATATTGCAACAATAGTGTTTTTAAAAAAGTGCCGTTAGCAAACCTAAGTACAAAATTATCAAGAAATATACAGCTGGAATTAAGCCTGAAGAAAAGAGCAAGGTTTAAATAAATGGAAAACAAGAAGATGAACAATTCAGAAAGATAACACCTTCTGTTTATAGGAGACAGAAAAATATAACTAATATGCCCACAAGAAAACGAAAATCAAATAGAGAAACTGCCCCTCCCAGGATTCGCAATGATGCCAATTGAAACCAGTATTGAATACTTTCTATCTATAGAACTGCGTAATATGTAAAGTTCTGAATCACAACAAAATAAATTACATTCTGGGCTGGAGAGATGAAGAAGAAAAAACAGTGGATAACAAAGTAATGAAACCAATTATTTCTCCAACAAACTGATGAGGTCCTCTGCAGCTGGCGTGTTCGCCCTTGAGAGTGTCCTGTGCTGTTACAGTCCTGGGGTCACCGCTTCTGCTCGTTGTCTCAGGGTAGCACCCCACCCCTTTCTCCCCAGAAAGTGTTCAAAAAGGGAAATGAAAGGAACACCTGGGTTCCACCAAGGGAAAAGGGTTGCTCTAATGAAAACCTTGTTTCAAACGTCAAGTGCACCACCTGCGTGCGTTTTCACAGCAATGGGTATAGGAGCCCGCCTTTCTCTTTTTTGCCTTATGAAATATTCATTAAAAGGGAAAGTTTAGCAGCTCCAGTGGTCTCCTCCGGTTAGGAGATACTGCAAGACCTTCCCTTCCTTCTCTCTCTCCTCCTCCCTCCCTCCCTCTCTGCCCCCTTGTTGGGGTAGCCTCATATTTCCACCTTATATTTCTTTTATTTGCTCATGACAGATCACAAGAAGTGGCAGAATACTTTCTGAAAGAGAATACAAGCTGAACATCATGAAGCGAGATCACCAAAAATATATCCGGGAGTGCCTAGCCCAGGCCATTTTCCATAAGGTTCTTGATATGGAGGTACAGATATTTACCGTTTTCTTTATAACTGATATATTTTCATATTATAAATAATAATGTTTTTGTATCCAGACACTGAGGAATTTTTCCTGTATTTTGTCTCAAAGGAAGTAGAACAAAGAAATTACTCTGTGTATCTCTGGGTAGCTAGGAGCCAAAAGCGAGTGTAAGCTTTTCCTCATTTCAGTTGGGAAAAATATGGACATCATTATATATTTTGTGATATTTAATTTTCCAAATGTAGATTTTTAATCCACAATGGCCACTCTAAAACATACCAGCCCTCACCATCTGTACCTCAATTTTCGTTTGCTAAAAAAAAAAGTGACATCTGTTTAAATATCAGTAATTCCACTGCCATGAATTATTTCAAATCTGTTATTCTTTTAAGGCTCTGAAGCTCAGCCGTATGTTACGTTTCAAGGAATAGGCATTTTAACATCTGTTGTCCCTCCTACTATAGGACACATCGGTCAACATAGATTCACAACCCAAGCACCAACAACTTCTTCTTCTTCTTTTTTTTTTTTTTAAATCTGACCAGACATTTTTTATGGGATATCTAGCTAATTTGATAAATTATTTCAGCTTTGCTCCATAGAACTTGTAGTTTCAAGCATCGACACCATTTTAATCTCTGTGAAAAAGTGTGTTGCTTCTTGGCTTGACTGTACAGCAATAAATCAGAAAACTTGGCTCTTAAAACCATTGACCTCTAAGTGCAGTAAACATTTATGAACAACTGTAGAATCATCAGTAAACCAATACTAAGGGTAGTGCCACTGAAAATATTTGTTATTATGCCACCATTGTCGTGAGCCAGTGGGGTGCTCACTGAAGGTGTGTATAATCTATTAATTGAGGAATTCGTTCTGTGTTTTATAGCAGGTGCACGAGTAGCATAGAATCATTGTTTATGGCCCCCAGAGTCGCTGGGTTATAAGGGTTAGTTGCAACTTTTCAACTCTGCTAAGAAAGAAATAGTACAGCGTAAAATTAATCTAGATCTAGTTTAAAACATAATGAACAGACACAGAGTTCAATGCTAGCCTTGATCCTTGAAGTCCAGTTTTCCAGAATGTCATACAACATTGAAACATTGTGAGATATTATAACTGTTGAATATGCTATTAATTAAGAATTGTTGTGTGTTCTTAAAATTTGAGATGAATGTCTTAGATAAATGTTAATATGTAATACACTAAATAATATAATCTTTGCGTATAACAGAATATATTATAATTATACGATGTACATAGTATAATATGATAGAACAAGCTCTTTCTCATTGGGTTGTCACCCTTGTCCCACATGTAGTTTACGCTGGTGCTGTTTACTAGTTGTTGTGTTAATATTCATATATTCACTCATGCAACAAGCGGTAATTGTCGGCTTACCATGTGCCAATATGAGGCTGTGTGTTGTAGCTGTGAAATATAATTTTGTAAAAAACACTGTTGAAAGTGATTGAGTGCCAGAAGAGAATAGCAGACAGAGCAAGTTCAGAAACTAAGGGAAGGACGCTTCCCCCTGTGGGAGCGGGAGGAAGGTGAAGAGGTCCTGCTATTTGAACGGCGCCTTGAAGACGGTGAGTTCCCATGAAAACGTGGAAAAGGCATCCAGAGGCGTGAGGTTGCAGGGGTGTGAGAGGACCCTGTGGATGTAAAGGACACTCCCCAGGGTGGACTGCACGGTGGGTTGACCGAAGGGAGTGGCAGAAAGTGACATTACCCAATAAACTGGGGCCCGGTTTCTGGAAAGCCTTCAATTCCCAACTAAGTTTGGAGTGTAGGTGATGAGGCAGTAAGACCTTTTTTCAGCAGGGGAGTGAAATAAATGTGCAGAGCTGTTTTAGAAAGATGATGTTGCTAAAAATGTGGAAGATGGATTAATGAGCTGGAAAAGATTGGAGGTGGGAGGTCAATGAGGAAGCTGTTGCCAGAGGGTGGAGGCTGAGAGCGCCGGGGCGATGCTGGAGATGCAGCTGTCAACAGAGAAAGTGGGGGGCGGGGGGGGGAACGGAAGCTGCTGAAGTGGGAAGGGGAGGGGCCCAGGACAGCTCTGAGGTTCTAGCCTGGCTGGGGGTGCCGGCACCGGCACCGGGGGAGATCAGGAACAAAGCCCGGGCTGGAAAGGAACCTACAGGGGTGAAAAACACCCTTGATAAAATAGTGCCCTAGAAGCCAGGAGACTCTCACAAGCTGAAAAATGGAAATCCAGGCTGACCCAGAAGACAAAGGCATTGGTGGCTGCAAGAGTGCAGGGTGGTGAGGGGGTCACTGGTGTGTGTGGGCGGGGTGTTGGCTGCAGTGAGTTGGATATGAATGGAAGATAGAAAGTGGTTGATCGTGAATCAGTGACTGGAAGAAGAGGGAGAGGAAAGGGAAGTGTGGAGAGGTGGATTAAGGCTACTTAGGTGGGAAATGATTGAGTCTTCAGGGTCCCAAAGGCAGCAGAAGTGGCTCAAGGACTGAAGACAAGTCTGTTCTCAAAGGCCCAGTAAACAAAACACTTGCAGATGTGTCTGAATAATTTCAAATTGAACTGTAAGCAGGTTGTTTTCACGTGAGGCTCATTTTCAAAGTATAGAGTAGTGTATTACAGACAATCTGGAAAATACACAAGAAGTATAACAGAGGGAAATAACCACATAGAATTCCTCCTTTCAGAGACAACTGCAAACACTCCAGGCTCTGCTACTGAGGGATGTAGGACCAAGGGCAAGTTTATGTTTGTAAAATGGGATTGCTTTGGCCATTAGAGTTGTTTAAGAAGAAATGAGACATGGGAAGAAGTTTCCTAGCATAGGGACAGGCACAATATGAGCTTGGTCAATGAAACTGTGTTTCTGTGAAGTTTTGGATCCTGCACTATGTGCACTGCCCATTTTTAAATAAAATCTTTATGAACCTTTTTTTTTTTTCAAAGATTGATTGCATTTTATTTCATCTATGGATGAGCCCAAATTGTGACCCTTCTCCTCACAGATTATATTGCATCTGTATTATTTGCTTTGGAGGAAAAAAAACTTTCAGACAACATCTTTGTGCATGACACATTTTTTAAAAATTATTATTCAGACTTACTGGCTACAGGTTGTAAACACTTGTAATTGCCTAATATATGTTCAGAATTGGATTTCCAAATAGTTGTACCAATTTATAATCCCATTGGAGAAGTGATACAGGTGATTCTTCTTCATTTTAATGATAAGGGGGTAATTGAGAATATAGTAATAGCTAACCATTGGGCTTATTTTCCTGTAAAAAATTCTTTGCTATAACTGATATGATTCTTTTCTTCATTCTTTCCTGTATGCTTAGCGTTACCATCAGCTGGAAGTAAAAAAGAAATTGGAGACGTTAGCTAGAAAAGAGAGAATTCAGAGATTTAAGGTAAGGTGCCACATGACTCTTCTAATTCATAATAATATTTTATGATTTCAAAAGCCAATGATACTATTCAAGTTCCCTGGGGCACCTTACTTTTGGGTAGCTGAGGTCAAATGATGCTTCCACCAAGCTAAAATCTTAGAATTATCATTTTCCCCCCAAAACTTTCTTTTTGGGATTGTAAGCTAATATGGCCTTTTTGCAAAGAAGTTTGAGAATTCTAAAGAAACTAAAAGTGGACCTCTGTTTGATCCTGCAATTCCTCTATTAGGTATATAGCCAGATAATCAAAAATCATTTCACAGCAAGGACATCTGCACCACAATGTTTATTGCAGCCCAATTCATAATTGCCAAGTCATGAAAGCAGCCCAAATGCCCATCCACCCATGAGTGGATTAACAAATTGTGGTATATGTATACCATGGAATACTATGCAACCATAAAAAGATAGAGAATTCACATCTTTTATGTTTACCTGGATGGAGCTGGACCATATTCTTCTTAGTAAAGTATTTCAAGAATGGAAAAAAAAACGTATCCAATGTACTCAGTACTACTATGAAATCAGTATATAATCACCTACACATTCATACGAGTGGTAAAACGTAACTATAGTCCAGAAAGAAGGAAGAAGAAGGAGGGAGGGGAAGGGGACGGGGGAGATCAGGAGGAGAGAGGGCATTAGGGGGACCTCACCTAATGTGCATAATGCAATGATACATTTCAAAACTATTAAGAATAGAGTATACACGACTTACCACAACAAATCTGTAAGAAGATGGTTATGCTAATCAGTTAGATGTAAGCATTCCACATTGTATATCAAATCAGCACATTGTACCCCATAAATGCATTAATGTTCAGTTATGATTTAATAAAGAAAAAAACAAAAAACAAACTTTCCTTTTTTATTGTTTGGGATTCATTGAGGGCACACCGAATTAGAGTGCACTGATTGTGTTTGTAGGTAAAGTCCCTCTTGTAATTGTGTCCTGCCTCCCAGAGGTGTGCCATACACCGTGACCCCCTGTCCCTTTCCCTCCTCCCCTCTTCCCAATCCGTTATTCCCCTACCACACCCCTTGTATTAGATCATCTACTGCCTTCATATTAGAATGGAGTATGTTGGATGCTTACTTCTCCATTCTTGTGATGCTTTGCCAAGAAGAATGTGTTCCATCTCCATCCAGGTTAATACAAAAGATGTAAAGTCTCCATCTTTTTAAATGGCTGAATAGTATTCCATGGTGTACATAGACCACAGCTTGTTAATCCATTCCTGGGTTAGTGGGCATTTAGGTTGTTTCCACGTTTTGGCAGTTGTAAATTGAGTTGTGATAAACAGTCTAGTGCAAATGTCTTTAGATAAAATATAATTTTTTTCTTCTGGCTAGACATTTAGTAATGGGATTGCAGGATCAAATGGGATGTCTAGGTTGAGTTCTTTGAGGAGTCTCCATACTTCTTTCCAAAAGTTTGTATTGTTTTGCAGTCCTTTCAGCAGTGTAAAAGTGTTCCCTTCTCTCCACATCCATGCCAGCATTTGCAGCTTTGAGACTTCAATGTGGGCCATTCTCACTGGGTGAGAATACCTCAGGGTGGTTTTGATTTGAATTTCTCTGATGATCAGGGACAATGAGCATTTTTTCAAATGTTTGTTAGTTATTCATCTGTCTTTGTCAGAGAAGGTTCTGTTCATAGCTCTTGCTCAGCAGTACATGGGATTATTTACATCTTGGCCATCATCATTATAGAAGATTGTTGACAAAAATAGAAGCTATTTGTGGGAAATAAATTTTAATAAGGTGCCTTTCAGAGACAAACTTGACAATGCTCTTTCCAACTTTAAAACTTTGCTTTTATATTTTCTTGTGATAGAGGCCAAAGGATTTTTGTCTGTCTTTAGGTAAAAATAAATGACAGCATTTCAACATGATAGCAAACATGCTTTTTAGGAATTATTGTAGGTTTTCTAGAATGACAACTGGGAAAAGAAGGGAATTATTCAATGGCACTTTTTCATGCGACTATGACCACTACAGTTGCATCACACTCTATCTGAAGGAAGAGAAGGTACCTTGAAATAATATAGATGCAGAAAAAGCTTTGTAAAATATTTGCAGGAGGTTGATGGTTTAAGTTCTGCCCGAATTGCTTGATTTCATCTTTATTCTTGCTTTGTGCAATCTAATATCAAAATTGAGCAAAGGAATGCATAAGGCATTCATCCAAGGCCTTGTTTGAATTTCCAATTCCATTCAAGCTGTCACAAAAGGTACTTGAGCACCATTTTTTATGGCTGAGTAGTATTCCGCATTTTGTTAATTCATTCATGAATTTGTGGGCATCTGGGTTGTTGATACATCTGTGCAATTGTGAATTGTGCTGCTATAAACATTTGAGCAGGTATCCTTTTAATAAAATGGCCTTCTTTCCTTTGACTATATCCTCAGCAGGGGAACTCCTGGATCAAATGGTAGGTCTACTTGAAGTTCCTTGAGGTATCTCCATATGATTTTTCATAGGGGCTGTTCTAGTTTGCAGTCCTACCAACAGTGCATGAGTCCTTTTCTCTTTGTATCCACACCAGCATTTGTTGCTTTGGGACTTTTTGATAAGATCCAGTCTCAGTGGAGTTAGGGGATATCTCATTGCAGTTTTGATTTGTGTTTCCCTAAAGATTAGAGATGTTGAGCATTCCGCATTTGTTTTCTATTTTTTTGCTAGCCCTTCTTTGTAGTGAACTTTAATGAAATATATAAATTTGAATCAATAAATAGATTCAATTAGTTTCAATATTTGAAAGATTTTAGTTTTACTGAAATTGACGAGTTTTACTCAATTTTTGTGCCACTCAAATGCATATGTTTTTCTTAATTTTCTGTGTGCTGTAGTATTATAAATGTGGGACCCGACACACATTTCACGAACTGATGGATATTTGTAAAGCTTCTGTAGAATAACCTGCCATCAAAGACAGGATTTTTTCCCTGCTGCCTGATAGACTCAAGTCTGTTTTATCAGGGTCAAAAGATAATCTTGTTACAAAAGTGTCATTAAATGACAGAAGGTGGGTCAGTTTTTCAAGATCAAAGAGTTGGTGTGTAGAGATTTGTGGTTAATTCCACTTTGCTGATATTGTCCCACATCAAGGACTGAGTCATAGATTCTAAAATTTATCTGCTCAACGGTTGATGGAGAAAAACGGTGGCTGGAAATAGGGAGTGATTCAGACTCCCTGAAGCAGCATAAGCTGTGAGGTCTGTGCTTTCTTCACACCTGCCCGGCTCACCAGACGCACTGAACTAGGGACATGGGCAAACCATGGCACTGGCAGAGATTCGCTATAGACCCTCCTGATCCTTCTCAAATGATTTTTATTTGTAACAATTTCAACTTTATAGCTGCAATCAATGCAAGATATATATATATATTTTTTTTTTTGAGACAGAGCCTCAAGCTGTCCCCCTGGGCAGAGTGCCGTGGCATTACAGCTCACAGCAACCTCCAACTCCTGGGCTCAAGCGAGTCTCCTGCCTCCGCCTCCCAAGTAGCTGGGACCACAGGCGCCCGCCACAACGCCCGGCTATTTTTTGGTTGCAGCCGTCATTGTTGTTTGGCGGGTCCGGACTGGGGATTCGAACCCACCACCTTAGGTGTACGTGGCTGGCGCCTTAGCCGGTTGAGCTATAGGCGCCGAGTCGCAAGATATATTTTAGATTCCTTTTCATTTAATATGAAGTTCTTTGTGCTTGCTGGTATTATTTCATTATTTTCTAAAATACAAAATTACTACTTTCTCATTGTCTACTGAAGAGACTAGTGAAGAATGCCATGCTTGCCTAAGGCGAGTTCCCAAGTATTACTGCTAACACTGAGGATACCCTGCTTTCATAGCAATTTCTTTGAGTACAGCTAGAGCAGACTGACCTCTCTGCTCTTTACCAGCTGTGGAAACTTTCCCCACATACCAGGGCGGTCCTCCAATGTAACGTTCTTGACAGAAGTGAGAATGGAGTTCCTTAGTTGTATACGTTGCGGTATCTTTTATATGCCAGGCACTAATCAAACCTAGACTACCAACTATGCATCTATTTGCTAAATCGCTTTCTTATTCTAGGGAGAACACACAAGGCGGTTTATTGAAGATAACATGCCACGCCTATCTCCTCGCCCCCCACTTGGCCCAAGGACTAATCGTGGCCATAATGTTCTGGTTGATGAAGGACCTTCTAGTCCATTAGCACTGGTGAGTCATAGTAAACACTTTGTCACACAGTTTCCCAGCTAATTAATTTATGATTGCTTATTAATCTCAGAAAGAATGCTGTCTGGGAACATGTCTGCCTAATCCTCTGAGTCTTACCGAATGAGATATAGTCTCTACTGGATGTCTCGTCTCTAATCACTATCAATCCTGCAAATCCATTTTGCTTGTTCCTGCTAGAATCATTTTCTTCATGTGCAGATTATTTATGTTGCTTACGTGTCCAAATACCTTCCATGGGTCTATGTTGCCCAGTGAAAAGTCCAGACTGTTTCCCATGATGTTTAGAACCCTACACCACACATTCCTTGTGTTCTGCCCTCTGCATTTTCCTCGAGCTGTTCATTTGCTTCTACCTTCTCTGCACAAATTCAATGGTACCATGTGCAATGTTGGGCTAGATCCTAACACCTGAGCTTCTTTCATTGAAATTATGTGCCAGTCACTGAGATAAATATAATTAGATGCACAGAAATTCTAGTTGATGAAATGTCACACTGATATTCTATTCCAGCTTGATCCATTCATCACCTACAGGTGGTATTTGCTTGAAGGAAGAGAAGGTACCTTGACATCATATACAGAAAAAGATTTATAAAATATTTGCAGGAGGTTGATGGTTTGAGTTCTACCCACGTTGCTTGATTTCATCTTTAGTCTTGCTTTGTGCAGTCTAGTATCAATAGATTTCCTGGTAAGCATGAACATTTTTTTTTTGAACTGCAAAATATTTATGGAGAAATTGCAATGCTTTTGCAGATTGTTGAAGTAGGTTCATCACATATAATGTTCAGCTTTGACATTTTTCAAAGGGTAAATATGTTTTGACATTTCCTGATGAACAGCTCCAAGGAATGAAAAGCAACTGTCTTCTCTTTGTTGCTAGCTTATTTCCAGGTTTGATTTGACTGTGTATAGATATGAATTCTTTTATTGGATGGTGAATTCACTAGACTCCAAAGCTTAACCCGGGTGAAACAAAAGAAACAATCAGGTGCTGTTTTTCATCTTCCCACCTGTTTCAGAGAGGAAAAAGCTCTTGAAAGGCTTTCTGTTCAATTTTCCAGCTGAACACCTTCAATAAATAGTTTATGATTTATCCAGGAAATCTTAATGTGGCAGGAGCGAGAAAGCAATTTAAAAATTACGGGAAACACTGACACCAGCATTTGAAAAGCCCTTCTCTCTGGTAAGCCGGGATCCTTCTCTCGGTCACCCTGATGCTACTTTGACACCTTAAGGGATTCCTATTGTGATCTTGGAATTGTAGTTCCCATTTTACAGAAATTCAAGTCCCCCCTTTTTTGTTTTGCCAGCTTGGATGCATTTCTGTTAAATTTGACTCTTGGCATCCGAGTGCTACTGAGATGAAGATAGTAATCCTTTCGGGGCATTTCTGTTCACTTTTTCTTTTTTAACTTTCTTAAGTAAGAAAAGCGTGGTGTGCAATGCTGGTGCCCTTGGTTGCTGATTGCACCCGAACTTTCAAAACAGCACACAGGCTGTTAGCTGCGCTGCTCCCATTAAAACTTGGGAAAGTCATTTCAACCAATTCTGCAGATACTTGGAAAATTCACCCCCAGAGATCTTCTACAAAGAGTTAGCTAAGCTGAGTAATCACCAGGTAGTCAATTTCAATTCGTATTCTGGCGCAGTTTCGAGAATGTTAAGCTACAGTGTCATATTTATTCCAAGAAAATATATTACAAACAATTTAAAATATAGCAAATTTAAGGTGGTTTCTGATGTGAACTACAACAGTTTGTAGCTCACAGCTGTTAGTTAATGGTGCAGATTTGTTTTTAGAGATAAACGTAATCAGTTAAACGTTCCGCTGCCACATTCATCTAACTGAATGATATCCACATGCAAATTCAGGAAGTTATTCTTAGAGCGTAACAGCCAATAGATCATGTTCTAGTTTGCAGTAACCTACGTTCTTAAATTTGTACATTAGGTTGTTTCACGTTTTTGTCTTCAGTTTACAGAACGTCTTACGGTGTAGTTGTTTAACAGAGTTCCCGAGAATTCTTTTGGGTATTCTGATTCCCTTGATCACATGCCTCTAGTTTAATTTCTCTGTGTGGGTTTTAAGACTTTTTACTTTTTGGTCTACACAGGCCATTCTTGTTTCTTAGAATTAAATACTGCTCTAGTCAATCTACTTGGCTTCTTGTATTATTTGTATTATGGGTTTATGAACAGAGACCCCTCCCCTCCAAAAATAACAATGGCTTAAACCTTAAGCCCTAAACCTTAGGGCCTATTCCAGCACACATACATGATCTCACCTGGCGTGTCATCTCTGCTCTATGAAGTCATTAAAGGCCCAGGCTCCTGTTGTGTTAGTCATCTTCCAGCTGTAGGGTGTTACCTTTATGCACATAAGCCAAGGTGGTGGGATCACCAGGTGGATATTTTAACCAGAGGAAAGGAGTGGAAGGGGGAATGAGGGCACACTTCTTTTGTCTAAGGGGATGATCTGGATGCATCCTGTATCACTTCTGCTCACATAGTATTGGCCAAAACTGAGGCATGCATTGATACAGAGTCACAAAGTTACTGGGGGATAGAACCTTGATTTATGACAACTGCATCCCCAAATAAAAATTGGGCAGAAAAGAGAACAGATTTTCGGGAATGTCATCTTTGCTGCTCTTTCCACGTCGTGCTCATTGCCAGCTCTCTTACCACTTGGACGTTCAAACTCACCATTCCCCTTTACTCCTCCATTTTCTTCTTGTTTACCACGTGGATAAAACCTAACCACTTCTGTGAAACTAATTTGTATCATCCTCATTGGCTTACTCTAAACTGCATGCAGACTTTTAGCTCTAGGTTCTATTCTCAGGTATTTTGCTGTTAGTTTCTGTTTGGCATGTTTGTGTGGTTCATTTGATACTAATTGTCTTGTGTTGCCATTAGATATTAAAATCACTTTTTATCTCTTCACAGAGTCTTGGTGGGAATTCCATAAATGTTATAAAACATAATCAGAGATTTGTCAACGTATGACTGCCTCTCAAAATGGCACGGAGACTAATTTTTGGTAGTGGGAGCTGTCTTATTATAATTTTTTGAGTATTTATGTATACTTTTCAGAGCTGAGTATTTCTCATTCACCGTTCTTTAGAGTCAATGTATAAAGCCTTATTCATGAGTCGTCTCCATACCATCCTTCTCAAACCCTCTTACCCAAATATGTGTGTACTATTCTTCACAGGTTTGCTACTATCTTATTGTAATAGAATAATTGGGCCAAAAGCATCATCCCCCACCCCCTACTTTTTGGCACACTATATCTATACAGTGAAGTTACACGACCTTCCACGGGTGTCCCCAGAGGCACTGGTGATGCTCTGTATATATTGGCACTTTTGGTCTTTGCTGTAGCCTGTCCCTGACTGATAGGAAATGCATCAGTGAGGGGCTCAGCAGGGAACAGATGGCTCACGCAAATAGGGTGATTAGGAAGTGTTTAATAAAGAAACTATTTACAAAGAAGCAGGCAAGGTTAATGAAAACCAACTAGGGATGTTAAGTGTGCCAGGGTCAGCACATCTGGGGGAAGAGAGGGATTGGTTACCAGAACCTTCAGCTGGTACCTGTCACTAGGGGAGGGGTCCCAAGTGGCAGCTGTGGACTTGACTTTGGTAGAGGGATGCAGCTGGCCCATTGCTGCCCTGAAGGAAAAATAAACACTCTACTCTCTTCCCCTCCTGTCCTTTCATCTCCTGCTAGTGCCATTCACTGGGGGACTCCAACTACAATCCTAAAATTAGTTGGAAGAGTCTCAAAGGGAATCACTTCCAGGGCACAGAGCAGGGCAGAGAAGGTACAGTAGATCTGAAGGGGTAGAGGGAGGATACTCAGCTTGGAAAACATATCTGTTTCCATGTTGTAAGTTCCAAAGGCCACAGTCAAGATTTTTTATTTTCGTGTTCTTAATCCTTCAAGGAAGCAATTAAGTAAATGGTGACGTTACAGTCCAGCATCTGCCTCACCTCCTCTGTTTATATCATCTTGTCTCCATTTACTTTAGACAAATTGTAAGGCTAACAGGATTCAGAGTAGAGTTTATGTTGAAGACTTTTAAACAGAAATGAGTCCCTACCAATAATATCCCTTTAGACCCCTTAAAATGGAAACCATTATTCAACTTAATCCTTAATGAGTAAAGCCATTCATTCTATGCACAGCATAAACTAAGTAGTCTGTGAGTTCACAGTGTGACTGAAGGTACAGAAGCATCATAGAGGACATCTCCTTTGTCTAATACACTCCATAATTGTGGCATTTAGTTAGGTAGAGGACGTCAACACCATATGTTTTAACAAATACAAAGGTACCATTAATTACTGTAGGCAATTTATTGGGTTATTAACTGGTTCTGGAAACATGTCAAGATACTAATTTCAATGAAAAATTTTTTTTCCTAATTGTCTAGACAGACCCTCGACCATATACCGCCCCAGGAAATATGCAGCCTCCAATTCGATTGCAGCCTCTTCCCCGGAATCCTGCAGTGGAAACTGTTCCAAAGATGACTTCAGGGTCCAGATCAAAACACTCGTTGCTGGAAAACACAGCTCCATTTCCTATTGGGGTAAATGTTATTTTCTTCAAGAAATATATTTCTATTCTTCATCAGGATTTTAGGGTATCACAGGTTTTAAGGTGCTATATTCAATGATTCTGCACAATGGAATTTATATTGCGCATTTATGAAGCACTTCCTATGTACTTTTGATTAATTATATCTCACTCGAAATTGCACTTATCGTTTCTGTGTCATTGAGCAAAAAATTAAGAAATGTATTTGTAACAACACAGGGTGATTTTTCTTCTCTTTGAAAAGCTGATTGAAAAACAGAAGAAGGACTTTTCTTTAGTCAGATCTGACTTCTTTCAGCAAAGACCCAGCGTTGACTTCCTCCAAATTTTAAATGCGCAAACCCTAGGAAATGAAACTTTCTAAGAATAGGTTTGAATTTGCATGCCGGCTTACTTTCCCATCAGTGTATGAAATTGCTTCCAGTTTGACTTTTAGAAGGTTGAATACAGAAAGGAGAAGAGTGTCCATCTTTTAAAAATGCTGAGTTAATCACACGTAGGAGGGCGACTCTGCCTCCTTTCCAAGATCATGTCTCAGGTCATTTCCACTTATTTTAATAGAGCACAGGAAGGAGATATGGTCGCCGTGAAAAGTGAGTTACATAAAAAGGGAGAATTAGTGGATTTAATAATTCAGGAGCATCTTGTCTGTATTTCTAATGTGAAGGAGAAACATTAGCCAGCTTAAGAAAGAGCCCCTGTCATGAGTACAACTGTCATTATGTTCAAAGAGAGTGAATTATGTCCCATGTCTGATTAGGAAACAAGGCATATGAAATTAAATTATTTTATCTTTAACTTAGAGATAACCTTGACAACTGAGAAATTAATTCAGACAAATAAATGATTGTTCATAATAAAAGTATGCATATAACTCTAAAAATAATAACTAATACTTGAACGCACTTAATGTCCTTTTCAGCCTGTGAAGCACTTTTCTCAAGCCTTATTTCAGTTGATTTAATAGCAGTTTCCCAGAAAACAGGAGACATTAATCGAAAAGTGGCGGCACTTTGTCTAGGGAGGACGGCCTGGAAGCTGCGCGGGAACTTGTTGGGTCACATGTCAGTTAGTGTGACACGTATTACGATCTGGTCTTCACGTCACAGGCCCAAAGATTCCTTCAGCCAGCGTCCAGAAATGGTCACAGCCTGAAAGAGAGCGTCAGGGTAACTCAAGTAACTCACTACAAGCACATTTTTGCCTCTATGATAAACCAAGACAGAGAACCATTTTAACCACTTTAAACTGTTATAAGAGGCCATTAATTCCCCAAGGGATATCAAATAGTCACAGCTCCCATACCATGTGCATTCTCTGCCAGGAGGGGCTGCATGAGAAGCCGAGTCACAATGAGAATGTTGCTGAGTGATCCTGAAATCAGAATGTGGGGATATAGTGTAATGGAATGTGATGGCATTGGGCTGGGAGGCCCCAGTGAACTCACTAGGAATGGGCTTGCCGAAGGTACCAGAACTCTCAAAGGACTTTAGCTGAAACCTTCTGTATCCTACACAGTACCTTTGCCATTAGGACTGGAAATACTCAAAGTCCAATGGGTAGGATTTTTTGTCCCCTCGATAGTACTCTGATGGGTACTTTCCGCATTTACCCAGGTGATTATATTCCTTTCTAAGTTCCTATAACTGGTAATTAGACTCTGATGGATATATTTTCCTGTTAGATGTGTGAACACTGTCATTCAGGTAATGTTCAGGTTCTGCACGCTGGGATTCACTTTCTTTTTTCCTTTCAGTTGATTTTCCAAATCTACTCTGAGCTATTGGATAGATTTACTAACTGAACCTAGACAGGGCCTTTTCTTTTCCTGTTCCCAAATTTGGGGGATATGGATCATTAAGGATAGGCACTTGATGTGCTGACAAAATTGAGAGCACTTCCATGGTAATTTCTACTCACTAAAACTACTTTCCTTCAATAAATATTTACTGGGGCTGACTATGGGCCAGATACTGCTCTGGGCATCAGGAAAGACAAAAAGTAACTTATTGGAGCATGTAGTGTAATTTAGACAAAGTACGCTGTGACTGTATGTCTTTACATGTAATTTTTTTCAATGGCATTGATGATGAAAATAATTTAATATGAAATGAGACCAGAAACTGTAAAGAATAGTACTCTCTCTCATGATTACAGGACATCCAATAAATTCTTATTGCTTTTTTTAAAGGGTAAAGTGCATGCCTGTGGGCAGTATTTGAAAGTGCTGTGTACATAGCAGGTTGGACTTTGCTAAGTGGCAGAATGAGGGTCTTTAATCTAGACAAAAGCAATTTGGTCAAGAACAGACTTGTTAAGATGCAATTGAGTGAAAATAATGACGTGATTGGAAATGAAGATCCTTGGAATGAAAGTCCTCTCATCTACTACTGGTAGCACTAGAAATTGGTACGAGTGTTTATGAAAGCAAAGTGGGAGTATCTGCCACCACTTTATGTGAACGCGATCAAGCATTTTAACGTTTAGAAATGTATTCTAGGAATACACAAGTATGGGTGAAGAAATAGATTCAAGAACATTTTATACTGTCATATTTGCAATACAGGATGATTTGAAGATACCTAAACACGTAATAAAACATTTTTTAAAAATGTTATAGCATATTAAAATGCATTTAAAATTATAAGGTAGAATTATTTGTAGTAGCATGGAAACATGTCTATGATGCTTTTGGGTTAAAAAAAAACAGTAAAGAATAAAGTGTAAATTTTAAAAAAATTATTAAACCATTTCCAAATGAGGCATGTAATTCACTGATACCTGCTTAGAATTTTTAAAAAAAATTTCTAAACCCCCAAAGTTCTAGATTCATTTATTTTATTGTTCATAATATTTTCACTTATTTTTATTTGTTATTACAATATCAATGCATTACATTACAGAAAAAATTGAAAAATGTAAGAAAATAAAAACAAAATCATGACCCAATGTATATTAACCATTGTAACAATTGTAAATTCCTTGGTGACTATCTGCTTAAATCCCTTTCTATTCATATAAAATGTTTTCAATCCAAATTTGAGCTACATACTCTGGTTTCTCTTCAGATTGTATAATTCTTTTGCCTTTTACCAAATTTGAGCTACACATGATTTTATTTAATTTGTATTTTACTTATTTAGCAATGAGAAATTCAGTATGTGGAAGATAATTTCCCTCTCTTGAAAATAACTTTTCACTAATAAGCATCTCAAAATAAGGTCTTACTTAGTTGACAATTAGAAAATTTAAAAAATAGGGCGGTGCCTATGGCTCAAAGGAATAGGGCGCCAGCCCCATATGTCAGAGGTGTCGGGTTCAAACCCAGCCCCAGCCAAAAATCTGCAAAAAAAAAAAAAAATTAAAAAATATAGTTCGCATTTATATTACATAAATAAATGTAAAAGCAAATAAATTGGCATTAAACAGATTAAGAACATTTAAATATTTCTTAACATTTGGAAACTATTTCACATACCATCAAATTACCAATTTGCAAAAATGTAGGGACTCATGCTTGACAAATGTAATATAATTATTGATTACGCTTTTGGGGTTATTTTTTTCTTATCTCCACCCCCCCGATGTGCTTTAATGAGGAAGGTAACACATGTTGATTGACATTTTAAACAATGTGAATATTTACCCCTGAAGGTGACCCCACATTTAAATTCTCTCAGTTATTCTTGATTTTAATCATAATTCACATGAAAATTATTTGAAATGAATACATGATGATGTCTCATAGACTTTTAATGTTAGGATAAATAAATTCACATCATTCTTAATGAACTTGGTGATCATCTATTATCTGAACAAATACAAATTTAGGGAAATATCCTATTGATAGACTTTTAAGATGTTACTTTTTTCGATGTTTTAATTAATGTTACATATATGTATTTGTGCATATGTATCTTGTTCTTTATATGCACTTGTAGTAGTGAACTTGTACAGTTATCTGGGTAGAATTTCTTCCTACCAGTAGAATTTCTTAAGTTAAAGAGTATGCATCTTAAAATTTTGATAAATATTCCAATTTTGTCTCTCTAAGGTTGTAATAATTTACTCTACATAAGATTTCCTGTTTGTTCATAGCCTTGCCAACCCTGTCTATTCTAATACCAGCCAGGTGAAATGAGGGTATGAGGAAGTCCCAGCTCCTCATTCCTAAGTGGACTTTCCACCCTGCTTTAAAGGACACACTTCAGACTTCTTTGATTTAATTATTTAATTGTACTGGGCCCCCAGAGATTTATCCAGCTGTTGGGAAAAATCCTGAAAGTACTATAAAATATGCTCTCATCGTTTATTTGTTAAACAATATACTATATAAGGTTATAAACTCACAAATAGTTAATTTGCTGTGGATACAGCCAAGGGCCATTTTTCAACAGACTGACGCATTTCAAATTTGTGTGTTGCTGCCACCTGTGCTTGCATGCAGTGTCAGTCACACGGGCTGGTCTTTAAGTTTGGGTAACACTGGGACACTGGTTTTCCTTCTTTGGTTTTTACGTCATGAAATGTGGTTACAGGGCAGGAAGGCAGTGATGAAGTTCAGGAACTCCGGAGGCAATTCCCAGAGAATGGACCTGAACCGACTTCCAAACATTAGCGGCTACATGATGCCCATCCCCCCACCGCCTCCTCCCCCAAATGGAAGAACCACGAGAGAAAATCGATCTGAAGCGTGGAGAAGGAGAACGTTCCGTCCCACCACTGCTCCCAATGGCTTCCAGCCGGTCTTTGCCAGGGTGATTATGAAATTTTTCTTTTATTAATTTAGCACAGATGACATTTCACTATTAAATTTCTAGATTTGCAGTAAAAGAATTTGGGGAAATCCCATGCAAAATGCCTTCCGTAAAGAAATATAATAATTTTGTAAGTGTAATTGTCAACGTGAATGAATCCAAAATCAAAGATTTGGGTAGTTCAGTTGAATAACACACTTAGCAGAGTTAATAACAAAAGAGACAGTAAATCTTACAGTCAAATTGAAATTGAACTATACCCATGTCCAAATTGCTTAGTTTCTTTAACGTACCCATTCAATCACATGTTTTCAGAAGTATCTTCACATGTAGGTCTGTAAAAATTCAGAAACTTAATATATCTGAAAAATGTAGCATGTCTTACTGAAGTTTGTTTTTAATGATTTGTAGCAAACTGCTGTATAATACCTAGAAAAACTTTTCTTTTGGTGTTCTTTGAAAGTATTATAGTTTATTATACTCATTTCCTCAAAATACTGACAAAGATAATCTCAAGGCCAGTTGGACTTTATACAAATACAGGCTAGTAAGAAGGCAGAAGACCTCTTCTTTATCATGTAAATATACAGCAATAGTAATTATCTGTAACGTCTGTGATTTCTAGCAGATAGCTGCCAACCTTTCACGGAACATTTCAGTGAAGTACCCATGTGTGCACAGACTCCAGATGCTGGATCTTCTAATCCGGCCTCACTCTCAGGGACCTATCCACCCTGTGTCCCACCTCATCCCCTCCAGCCGTCCTCACCTCTAGCCTTCTGGAAAGATTAGGACCATCTTCCTCCAGCTTGCTCAAATTTCCTCTGCTCAACTCTGTTTTTACCAAATTCTCTCCCTTTCTTGATGTCTCTGGCAGAGCACTCTCCCACTCCTCCCCGAGGCCCAAGCTTCCCTGCCTTTGATCATATCCTCTTCCACCTTCACTGCCTGTCATTCTCTCCAATCTGCATTTCCAGCCGTCTCTAACATTCATCTCTGCCGCCCACGGGTGCTGCAACCTCAGACTTGTGTTTTCTCCTTCTCTTCCCTGCAAAGTTCTCTGAAGAATGGCTTACTGGAGCTTAGTCTAACAAACAACCCCAGGCAACTCAGCTTACCACAGCAAATGTTTATCTCTTGCTCACATTATTGTCTGTTGAGCAGCTGCAATTCTGGGACCCAGGCTGCAGGCACAGCTCAGAATGGAGGGGCCTGGCAGGTGCGCAAGCCTCATGCACAGCAGGACCATACTTGTAAGGTTCAGCTCAGGGGACACACATATCACTGACACTTGGACTCCTCTTGGCAAAACAAGTGTGTGACCACGGTTGATCTCAAGGAAGTATCAGTTTGTCACAGGGAGGGCCAGGGAAAATTTGGGGGCAACGACAGAATCTACCACATCCACGAACTTCCTCTTGAATTTCTTGCATGCTGGCCTGGGTTTCCGCCAGGCCACTGAACATGCTTTCAAAGGGTGTGGCACCCACTTAGTAAAAACAGCATCTTCCTCATTATCCTCAAACACTTGAGTGGTGTGATTTGAATTTCTGATGTTAAAATTTGTTAATGGGACATACTGTACTTATTCACACTCTTTAAAAAATAGTTTCTATGTCCCATAAACTATAAGGATGTGTAAAATCTGAACATACTAGTTAAACAACAGTGATCCAGGAGGCACCCATGACCCGCCCTGACGCAGACTCCACTGTCCTGTTTTGCAGAGCCCCCTGCTTCCTGCCATCCATGACCCCTACCCCTTCCCAGAGCAGCCACCATGCTGACTTCTACGTCAAGTTGTCCCTGATTGTCTTTAGAGTTCTGTCACCTATATGCATAAAACTTAAGAAATCAGCTCAAACTTAGCATCATAATGAAAGGGCAATAATTCCAGGAAAACTGTAAAATAATCTTAGGGTCAGAATCTGGGTTTGGTTTGTTGATAGATTTAAGAGCTTTTTCTGAGGTCAGAAAGGGCTGGTAATGAGTCTACCCTGGAAATGTGGGGCTCACCAGAATCAGGGTGTCGGGTGAGGCCCTCGTGTGGGCCAGACCCTGGACCTCCAGCAGGAAGGAGGACAGCAGGGCTTCTGTAGCTGGGACAGCAGAGAGAGCAGGAACTGCTTTATCCCGAGGTCAAATGAGCATCTGAGGCAGATTCCCCTGGGAGTCTGCGTTCAGGTGAGAAGCACAGCATGGGGGCAGCGGCATCCTGCCCTTGACAGACATTCTCATACCTGCCTCTGGAGTCCCAGGGGTGCACTCCCACTTGGCCCTTTTTTCCCTAACCTCTGTTCTCTTTTTGGGATTCCTATTTTAGGAGGGTTAGAGCTGCTCTACTGATGCTCTAACATTCTTCGCTTTTCTCTGCTACTTTCTACTTCTTTGTCTTTTTGTTCTACTTGCTAAGAGATTTTTTTTTTTCAATTTTATCTTCAACACATTCTACTGAGTTTTTTTTTCCTGCCATATTCAATGCTAAGAACTCTTTTTGTGTTTGCTGAATGCAACTTTTAAAAAGCATCTTATTCTTGTTCTGCGTGATTTTAATTCTTTGGTATTTGTGGAGACTTGCTTTGTGGGCTAATATATGTTCAGTTTTTAGAAAGAATATAGTTCTTTAAATGTTGCAATCAGGGTGTATAAATGTACTGTAGATAAATGTTAATTATGTCATTCATATTTTTATATCTTTAGATTTTTTTCATCTACAGTCTCTTGGTTTTTGAGTTATAATGATAATTCATTCTCTGTAAGTATGGACTTGTCAATTTCTCTTTGTAATTATGCCAAGTTCTGTTTGGTAAATGTGTAGAAAATCTCATTATGTGCTCTCGGATTTAGAATTATTTTATCTTACTCTTGAAGTGATCCTTTATCGTTAAAAATGATCCTTTTTATCACTACATTTTGTCTTAAAATATGCTTTTTAAAAAAATAAAAAACTGGTGTGTGTGTGTGTGTGTGTGTGTATATGTAGTTGACCCTTCAATAAGACTGAGGTAAGGAGTGCTAAGCCCTCCATGGTTGTAAGTCCACATGTAACTTTGACTCCTCCCTAACTTAGCCACCAATAGCCTATTGTTGACTGGAGGTCTCACCAATAACATCAACAGTAGATTAACACATATATTACATGTTTGATATATATATTTCATGTTATATACTATATTCTTTAGTAAGCTAGACTAAAGATGATAAATCATAATGACTTATCTAAAGTATTAACTAAAAAAATTATGAAAATCATAAAGGGAGAATATACTTTTGGAGCTGTGAGCATTTATTGATGATTTGAGTTTATGTCATCTCTTTGTGAGATGAGTTGTCTATGGCGATGGTGGGTAGCCATAGCTGCAGACCTCAACCTACAGTACAGACCAAGCAACTCAACTCATGCTTGTGATGTCCTGACTTTTCTCTGCTTCTCATGATGTTATTCAGGGTTTATTGGTACTGCACTAAACAAGATGAAAAATATGCAAGAACCACAGAGATCACTTTTACTGTGATATGCAGTCTCCTGGAGAGATGAATTTTTAAGCAGAGATGATTAGTGTCATGTGACAGTTTAAGCGGATGCTCACAGCACTTGAGCTCACCACAATTACAATAGGAGGTAGTGAGAAAATTATTACAGTAGGACAGTACATAGCTTGGTGAATTTTATGCAGTTGTAATTTAACACTGCATCTTTGTATCTGTTAACATATCTCTTGACCACAGGTCGTTCCATGTATGGTCTCTAAGTATTTGTATTCATAAGTTTTGATACATTTTAATTTTTAATAATAAATGTATATGTTGTTCATGATAACAAATGATTAATACACTAGTATCTACATATAGTTTATGCATTCATAATATACTTTTTTCTTAATTTTTGAGATTTATAGGCTATGCAGTTTCTGAGTTTTTCAAATTATTACAGATCTCCAAAATATTTTCCAATATATTTATTGAAAATAATCTGCATATAGGTGGACCCTGACAGTTCAAATCCATGCTGTTTAAGGGTGAACTAGATGTACATGTGTGCGCATTTGTGTGTATGTATTCCATTTACTTTCAGCCTTTTGGCATCTTTAAGGTTAAACTTTAGGCTTTAAATGTGTTTATGCAGAAGATGGGTAATTTGCATTTAATTTAATCTGAGAATCTCTATTCCATTAATAAATTGAGTTTTGTCCAGTTACATTTATTTTACATAGTGGTACGTTAGGCTTACTTCTACCATGTTAGTTTGTGTTTTCTGTTCATCATGATTTTTCTTTGATGACAATATTTTTTGCTATTAATTTCCTCTTTCTTAAAACGTTCCCCCTTTTCTTTCACAACATTCCACTATTACGGTTGTTTGCTGCTTGCCTTTACCTCTTGTCTGACTTCTTTGTGACTCTCCTTTGTCACAAAATCTAGTCATCGGCACAGGTGTCAACTTGGACACATTTCTTTCTGTTCATAATGTAGTCATCATCCCTCATGGGTTCAATACTTCACTAGATGTCCCTCAGATTTGACTCCAGTAGCCCTGGGTTCTGGGGTATAGAGTAAAACCAGCTCAGTGGGGAGAGTCATGCACTTTTACATTATCATAAGTTGATTTTATTTAGACATAGAAAAAATTCATTTATGGGGAGATGGCCATTGTGACTAATTTGCAGATTAAATTTGCTGTTTAAATTTATGACTACTATTCACCAAAAACACCCTTCAAAGGTTCTTAAAAGGAAGATGAGAAAGAGGTAAAGGGCAATGACAGAGAGCTCGCTGGTGGCCCACCACCTGCTTCTCTGAGAATGTGTAGGACGTCATGGCTTCTGGCTTCCGTGATTTGTGCCTCTGGGGATGATCACTGGAGCCCAATAATAAGGGGTTGGGATTCACAGACCCTGTTGCTTTGTCATATTTTGTTCCACCACCTTCAGAGCCTTATACCAGCATTTACAGACTCTATGAGCTTAGTTAGATTGTGCACTGAAGTTTACCACACCCAC